GTGAAATAAAGTAAAATGCAATAAAGACATAAAGTACTATATATGCAGTGATTTAGAGCGAAGTGAAGTGAAGTGAAGTAAAATGAATTAAAGTGAGATCAAGTGCTATGCAGTATTTTAGACTGACATTCAGTGCACTGAAACTAAGTAAGGTAAAATTACATAAAGTGAAGTAAAGTTCACTAAAGTGAAATAAAACAATATGTTACTAATAAAACATTGCATTACATTGAAGTTCTGTACAGTGCAATGAAGTGAAGTAACTTGAAGTGCAGTGCAGCAAAGTGAGGGAAAGTGAAGTACAGTTTGTTGAAGTGACTGAACTGCAGCTCAGTGACATGAAGCATCATTATAAAGTCAGCTGCAGTCTACGGAAAAAAAAAATCACAATGGTCTGTTTTAGCCAGTGGAAGCTGATGTGCCTAAATCTTCATCCTGGATTTCTCCTCACCTCCTCCCTCTCTGCCCTCTCTTTCTCTCCTATCAGTATCATTTTACATCTATTCTATCTGTTCCACTCACCTCTCACACCCTCACACCTTCTTGCATCTCTTTGTTCTCTTAATTCAACTGAGTCTCAAACCCTCTCTTACTTTCTCTCACTCTGTTTTCTGTAGTCTGCTAACACTCATCTGTTTTCCATAAAAAGCATTTCTTTCAGCAGACAGGATGGCAAATGTAGCAGTTTAACTTAATTTATAGGAAACAGGGTTGGAAGGGCAGTGAAATAAAGTGAAGTAAAAATGAAAAGTAAAGGGAAGAGCAAAAGAAAGTGAATTGAAGTGAAGTGAACTAACAAATGATTGTTATAGGCACTCACTGTTTCCTCTGGTGTCATGTCTGACTGCGGCATGGAATCACATGTCGCTCCATCTGAGGCTGTTTGGAATCTCAGTTACATATTCAAAACCAATCAGGTCTGCCAGCCAGTGTGAGGAACCTGTCAACAGGATGTCATGGTCAATCAGCTTTATTGTTATCAGTAGGAGTGGTGTACCAGCAGATATTGGCATTACTATGTTTTCTGAGAGTACCTGCTACTTAAAGCTTTTGCTACTGTAACTTGTCAAAGGCCATGTACATGGAAAAGGTTAACTTGGTTGAAAGGAAGTGTGACCTTACAGTACCTACAGTATATGATGGACATGATCTGGGTTGTCACACTGGTACGATTAGGCTACTAACATAATAATTACTTCATTCCATTAAGTTCTGCCATTTCTAGGGCCCTGCTGTGCACACTTGCTCACCAGCTTCACTTAGAGACTGTAAATGGGGCATGGGCACCGTCAGTGTTAATGGTTACATACGTGCTTTTCAAAATGTCTGAGAAATGTTTTTACCTCTCAGGTAACGACAGCGTGAGGTTGGAAATAACGATAGCTATGTTTCTGTACCCAGGTAAGTGTTGCTCAGGGATCCTGTATGTGTATCTTCAAACACTGATATTGATAGTTATTCATATTTTGTTCTTTAACCACTACTTTCAATAGAAAACTAACACTGTACATATTTCTAAATTTGATTTTAAATTGTGTAATTTCCATTATTTTTTTCATCAACTGAATTAGGTTTAGTGTTAGGGTTAGGGTTAGGGTTAGGCATTTATTTCTGATGGTTACCTCCTGTGTAAGGGGATAGGGAATGGATTATGTCAGTGAGTGTCCTCCCAAAGATAGAAATACAGGTGTGTGTTTTTGTGTGTGTGTGTATGTGTGTGTTAGCGTGAGGCTGAAGGCTTACAGCCAGTAGAAAGGTCACTGCTGAAATGCCAGCAGCATGACAGCTTGCCTTTCTGTCTGTCTGATGTCTTTACGGAGCCTTGTGCTCTGTGTCTTTGTGTTTTGGTGAAAACATGTCAAACAGCTGTTTGAAATGATTGACATTAAAGAAACTTGGTGGAAATTGTGTGTTTTTTCAGACTGGAGCAACTTAATCCCACAGACACCCCGATGACAAATTCAGTTAGATACAGTCTTTCATAAGGAGGCCATACGGAATCCATTGCTTTCTTATATGTAACAATAATACTGGGGTGAAATGTAGCACGTAAGCTGGATTTACTTAAACACCACACCTTATATGAGAATTTAGTCCAATGATTCAACGATTAGACTATTTGCTTATAATGGTCTGTTGGTTAGTCCACCACTTTGGTCCAGACTGAAATATAGTATCTCAACAGGTACTGGTTGGATTGCCATACATAGCGGTATATACATTCATGACTCCTTGGAACTGAAATAACTTTGGTGGTGTTTTGTCTAACTCCATCTTAAGGTCAAAATTTTAATTTGTCTACTACTTTTACCACCTCAGAGGACTTTTCTGTCAGTGTACAGGACTATGCTGAGTATGTGACCGGGTACATTAGTACTTTTATTGACAACATTGTGCCCACCATACAAGTCAGGAGGTTCCCCAAACAGAAGCCCTGGATAAACAGTCAGGTACGCCACATGCTGCATGCTCACTCTCATGCATTCAGATCAGGCAATGAGACGGAGTACAAAGCTACGAAGTACAGACTGAGGAAAGCCATCACAGTGGCCAAGAGGCAGTACAGAGAGAAGCTGAATGGCTTCTATTCTACTGCTGACTCTGGACGGATGTGGCAAGGTCTGCAGCACATCACAGACTACAGGACCACCACCAGCATCATCAGCTCCACAGACAGCCTGCTGAAAGGAGGGACACACACACCAAGACCACCCAACCCCCCCACCTCCCCTCCACTAACTGTCTCACCAGGCCAGGTACGCACAGTCCTGAAGAAGATAC